GGTCGCTTTGGTTCAGATTTTGGGCGCCGCTTGCAACTCCAACTATAGGGACCTGAATACATGAAGACTAATCTATGGTTTGACTTTTGCCTTCTCGCGCTAGCCACATCGATCTCGTATTGCAAGCTCAGGCACTGTGACACACAGCAAGTTGACATGATTGGCAACGTAAGTGCAAGTGAAGTAGCGTGTGTGACACACTGCAAACGCAAACAAAATCAAGAAAACATCTATATAATAGCGCAGCATGAAGTTTGTGTGCAAGTGCAAGTGAACGTCCAGTAAAGGGTAGCATATGGTAGCATGAAGTCTGTGTGCAAGTGCAAGTGACGTCCAGTATAGCATAGCATGAAGGTTTGCAAATGTCAGTGCACATCAACATTCCACCCCACCCTACCCCATCCCTTGTTCAACATGTTTGTGTGCCATCATGTGCCATCCTTGGTGCCAATGAACGCGAACCTCTCACCTCACCCACCCCAACCTTTGTTTGGATCGAAAAAGTGCTCGAGTCGCAAGTGACCGCTTTTCCGCGACGCAGAGGCGAAAGTGACCGCTTTTCTCAGCCGCAAGTCTATTTTTTGCATTTTTTGCTATATTGAACCGAACATGGACCACTCTGGACGTCCCTACGGCATTTGAGGGGCGTTGTCATTAAAAGAATTCGCGCGTGTTCTGTTGATCAGGTTTTCAGTCGCATTCAGCAAGTGATTTCATCCGTACTGGACCATATCCAGATCATACATCCTTTGCAAAAGTAACCTTCAGAACCCAATGAAAAACGACACTTTTTTGGTAGTGTAGTGGCGCGTAATGATTCCACAGAAGTAGACTGAGTGTGCGAACCTTAGGAACAAGTGCCGGAGTTGAAAGTCGAATCCTGGAGAAAAACCCTGGTGGATTGATCGCAAAATGGCGGGAGATACTGTACACTTAAACCGTACCTGTATATACCTGTACGTCCTTGACGGTACGGAATCGCTGGATCCTGAGGTGTGTGCTGGAGTCGGTTGCGCTGCTGGAAAGCAGGCGTTCCAACGAACCACACAGGATCACTAATATCACTAACTAGGAAGTCCTTGCGGAAAATCAGCACTTCAGCCTTGGGCGCTGTAGCATCCTGCCCATCAAAACCATGTTTGCCTTCAGTGTGCTCTTTGATTCTTATTGAATATTTTTCTTACAGGTATTGTAGCCTGCAGCAATTCCACAGCAGCAAGGAATAGCAGTTCCAGGATGCTCCAGGATGTTCCAGGATTGTATGGATCCGTTTCCAGGACCCATGTCCCACAACTCGGTTTGTTCAGCCCTGCTGGACCCAGGCATTGTTGTCTTCTCCGGGCAGTTTGACGGCCTTCCCGGCAGAATTTGCATCCATGAACTGCTGGCATGGGCGTAGGATTGTGGTGTCATTTGACGTTTGTCAGAAACGTTATCGTAAGATATCGTAAGTCTTTCAAGATGTGTCAAGATGGCCTGGCCCAGTTTTTGAAGCGCGTTTGTTGCATTTTTTTGGTTTATGACTGGCCATGGATTGTGAACAGGCCCATGTCGCAATAGGCTACCAGCAGGTGAATCCTTTAAGTGTTGTAGGTGTCGCATGGTGTCGCGCATGGTCGGTTCAAGCGCAGCACTTTTTGGCCGCAAGGATGTTTTGCTCCGGAGACTTCCCAGCTTACCAGACGTGAGCCTAAGCAGAAATCGCCAGTGTCGAAAAAGGCTGAGGTCTGAAGATGTCTCAAAATGATTCAAAATGTTTGAATTGAAGATGTTTGAAGATGTTTGAAGATGTTTGAAGATTGGTTTGGCATTCCTTTTGTGTATTTGAAATGCAAGCTGTACACACAGAGGTTCTTGGGGTTTCCAGGAAATATAGCACTGGCCTGGGTGTTCCATTACCCAGGGGTTGTTTTGGCATATGGGTGTTTCGTACACAAGGTGTTTCCTCAAATCATCTGAAAGCACCCAAAGTTCAACTATCGTTAGTATTGAAACCGGTTTGCTGGGATGGTCTAGGGTATTTTAGGGTGCCCCCATGTGCAAAATACAATGAAATACCAAGATATGTTGTCATTCTCCTGCTATGAGATGTGTCTGGGTCGGATTTCGAGGTACAGCGGATTCGAGTCCTGGCGTTGTTTGTGCAGCTGGGTCGTGCTGGAACTGAATGTTTTTCTTCGTATCTTGGCGCAAGATGAAGATGCACTATGAATGTGCAAGCATCCTCGAAAATCATGAAACAGACATTTAGAATTAACTAAGTATATAAATGCTGATTTGATCACGAAAGCTAGCTTCTGCTAGCTGAAGTCCCTCTTGCTTTAGCAAGCTATTGGGGGGATGGAATCACCAATCGCGAGGAACTTCTCAGTTAACTACCCCCTCCCCCTCCCCCTCCCCCCCCTCTCCTTTCACAAACAGTTTGGTCGTGGGATGTCGTGGGCTCAACCCCTCCCGGGACACGGTCAGTAACGGTCAGTAACAGCACCGGCACGATCACTGATATCCACCCTCTACACTTTGTACTCTCGAGTCCACACTTTACACGCTAAACTTTACACATACTTTACACTCCGCATCTTACACGCTACGCTCCACATTCGACATGTTACACTTACCTGTTAACTCACTTTACACTCCACACTTTACTCGCTAAACTTTACACTCCATACTTTACACTCTAAACTTTACGCTTCACACTTTACACTTCGCACTCCGCAGTCCACACTTTACACCCACACTGTACACTTGGCACTCCACACTCTACGTTTACACGTGGGACTCGCACTTTAATCTGTGCGCTTTCGCACTTTACACTTTAAACTTCACGTTGGACCCCCACAACTTTGCCTTTTTCACACTTGACGCTGTATGGAACCTTGGCCTTGCTCCATTTTCATGTTGCATGCGCACATCTACCTGTCGTCCTGAACTTTCCCCGCTCGCTGCGTTACTTCTTCCCACGCTTCCAAAGGTCCACTCCGGTGCCGACAGTGGACCTTTCAATTTTCCCCTAAACACTGTGCACTCTGCACTCCGCATTTTACACTCCACACTTTAGACTCTAAAATTACACCCCACACTTTACACGCCACACTCCACGCTCAACAGCTTACACTTAACTTTTAACGTACTGCACACGCCACAGTTTACACTCTAAACTTTACACTTGACACTTTACATTCCAATGTTTATCACACTTTACACCCCACACTCTACACTTGACACTTCGCACTCTACACTTGGCACTCCACACTTTACTTTTTACACATTGCACTCACACTTCAAGGTTTACGCTTTCACACTTTCCACTATACACTTGACTTTAGACCCTCACAACTTTGCCCTTTTCACACTTGACGCTGTATGGAACCTTGGCCTTGCTCCATTTTCATGTTGCATGCGCACATCTACCTCTCGTCGTAAACTGTCGCCTCGCACTGCGTGACGTCTTCCCGCGCTTCCAAAGGTTTACTCCGGTGCCGAAGGCGGACCTTTGAATTTTCCCGACTCAGTTGTCATGATCTTGTCTATGCTGATTGTCTTCATTTGCTTCGTGCAACAGTAGACAACAATCATAATAATCATATGTTCTCAAAAATTGTGTTTACACTTGCGCTACCTTCTGTGTTTCATGCCCATCACCCTGCCAAACTAGCTTTCGTCCCTTACTGTACCCCTTGCCCTGGATACATTTCTGCTTCTGGAGCGTATTTTCTCAAATGAGCGTAGTCGCACCACTCTTGGCATATTTCCACTTCGCGCGCTTTGACGAAAAAAATATGAAGGTATTTTCCTGGGAAATTAGAGACAAATTCCTTTCCGCCAGGACACAAATGCGCTCTTCTTAGTTCAAGTGAGCATTAAAGATTGGAATGATCATAAATTTATATAACCAACAATCCATGAGCAGAAAAAATGCTGATTGAAGACCAATATTGATCAATATTGTATATATATATATTATATTATATTCACATATACTATATATATATTATATATACATATAATTATATATGTGTGTGTGTTACACGTTAGTGCATTTTACATATGGCATCATTTTGACCCTTAAGATATATCCAGGAAATCATGACTGCAATCAAGGAAAATCTCAGGTGAGGAGGTGGTTCAATTGAGTCATGGATTATATATGTCTTGATGCTTCAAGACTGTGCGCTGCTGAAACATGGCTAAACACGGTCAATGCCCAGTGAGTGGCGACATCAGAGTCGTTCAGTCACCTGGTGAGGTTAGAACAGAAAGGAGCCTTTGAGAAGGCGACGATGTGTCTGTGAGTTGTGTGAATGCCAGATGCCAAGACAGACATAATTATGATACAATAATATATAATTATGATATATTATGAGGAAATATGATGATTCCACTTGTTTCACTGTGCATGTTCCACATCATGTTCACTTACATTTATCATCATTTCCGTTCTTAAATTTCTCATGATATGTTTGTAGGACGTGGATTCATTTTTTTGGCCGGAGGTTCTCGGTTCATTCTTGACCGACGACTTGCTGCTAAAGCTTAATGCTGTCGAGTTGATGGACGCGTTTGGAGCCCTGCGGGGCCCCACTTAACATGGCTTGATGGGCATCATGGGCTATGACTTCCCCCTGGCACATGATCAGCATTCTGACGGTGGAAGATTACAGTCGATCCAGCTTGGTAGTGTTTTAAAAAACAAATTACAATTAGGAGTTAATGGCAGTAATTAGCGAGATTCAGCTACAACCTGCGCAATCACCGATCTACAGACAATATAAAAATAACGAGTGTGGCTATGCCTATGGATAAGGATTGGACAAGCACGGATAGAAATCTCACCAATCAAGTGTTGTTCTGTTCTGTTCTGTTCTGTTCACGTAACCCTGCACACCTTCCACTGCCAGTCCGTTGCAGATACGTGTTCAGCTGGGGTCATTCCTGGTAGTCTTGTGGCCCAAGTGGCCTGAGTGCTTAGCGACTTCTCAGCTGCGTAGGTTTGCGCCATGCACTCGCCCCTCTCCAGTTGCGATTCTGTATGGCGCAGCATGGCCCTGCGAACCGACACGGCTCTTGAAGTACGATCAGATCTTTACGACAGAGGCACCGCTGGATGGCAGCAATCATACACCACGCCTGATATGTCTCGAGATGTCTAGGAATGCAGAGGTGCTAACAACCGGGTACACTTCACTGATGGCTGGGGTAGTTGTAGGCAAACATGTCTAGGGAGCTTGAAATCATCAGTCAGGAGATCCCAGCCAGAACTATAAGTTGGTGCATAGTTGATGCAATTCCGATTTGAAGCTATGGATGTTGCCCACACTAAGGGGTGAGCTCCATGGATGATTTTACATCGGCATTCCTCAAAACATTCAGCCACATTTGGCCTGTCCTATTCGTTGACCAGCCCCATACACTCAGTGCTTCCATTTGTTGGGATCCAGTCTCGTCCACAAGTACCAACGCGGATGTTGCATCCAATTCATCAACTTCCATCAACTGCCCACATTGTCACCTGGAGAGCTTGCTGGCCTAGTGGCCTCAAGTTGATCGACGGATTAATATAAGATATAAGCAAATCAAGTGTAAATAAGATATGTATAGATATGTTTGTAAAGATGTAAAGGAGCGACTTTGTGTTGTCATCTCCGCCTGTTTTGGCTGAATCCAATTTTATATTTTTACTTTTTGTTTGATATGTTTTGTTGATTTTTCATGATTTTTCTATATTTGATCTCCTTTTTGGTGCTGCCCGGCAGGCAACATCAGTCGCCTCAAGGAGTTCTACATCCGCCGGCTTTCGCAGAACGACGGGGTGGCGCCCGCTATGGCGCGGCTCCGACAGAGTCGGTCGCCTCGCTCCAACTTTGGCAGTCCACGAACGAGCCCAAGACAGACACCCAGGTGCCAACTAGGTTGCTATGATTTGCATGTTGGCAAGAAAAGGTTTGCCAACATGTTTCCTGCTATGTTGATCTATGTTGTATCTTCTTGTAATTGTTTGTCTCATTTTCACTCTTTTTCACTCTTGTCACGAAAGTGCCCGCCACAACAATGAAGAGAGAGAGAGAGAGCAACAAGAACATGTTGACCGTCTGCAGTGTTGCACATCCCGAACGCATGGTTTCAATATTGGTTCCAGCGGTGCTGCGGCTTGCAGGAACTCAGAAGTGGAAAGTCCCGAATCCATCTATGAGAAGTATGTGACTGGCAAGGTGCTGCTGTCCAGTTCACTGGGCAGGATGGGTAGGGCTGCCAACTAAACCACTGAACAAGGACACATATTGAAGTCCGTGGGGGCGATTTTTTTCCATCTTTTTCCTAGAACTTCAGCCTATCATTTGCGCCCTTGTTTTGCAAAGTTGAGTTCAGAACAAGCTCTTGCAGACTGGACAATAGACCCGCCACGAAGGGCGTCTTTTTAGGACAGTTGCTGCTTGTGACTGTGCTCCTGAGACAGAGAGAGAGAGAGAGACACCCCGCGCTGAGAGCAGCACGGAGCAGTTTTTGTCTTGCATGTATACCAGCGTAAGCTGGCAGACTGCAGAACAAAATATGCAAATCAGATTGGGATGTTTGATGTCAAGGCCAGCTTGCCAACGTGGCCACCACCAGTGGGAAATACAAACGGGTTCCGGGGCCTAAGTTGCAAAAGAACACCAGCTCTGTTCAGTTGCAGGTGGTTGGTGGCAGGAGGTAAATTGCTACTCGATCTACTCGCATGAGGCAGTTCAGACTATGCGTCAATATTCTGCAGGTGTTGCTATGCCATGCCTGCTGGTGATTCCATATAGGTTCTCCGTTTTGTTATGTTTTTTTTTAAGCTTGCGTGTTGGGTTGTTATTAACGGGTCGTGAACAATATATTCGAAATGTCTTGGCTTCCAAAAAACATGCAAAGATTTGCAGCGGCGGCTCATGGGCACATTGTGTCAGTGACAATTTGACCTGTGATTGCAGTCTGTGCTGCGCTGTATGAATGTGCATGGTTTCTTGCATGTGCATGACTGCGGCGGAACCTATTTCGTTATAATATGTGATCCTTGTGTTTTTATATCTTTGTGAAGCAGCTACAGGATCAAAACGCCACAGCCGTTTTTGAGGTGCGGACAGCGGTCAAAATTTATCTCATCTCGCCATACAAAGTTTCCAGTTTCCTCTCAATGTGGTGGCCCTGGATGGCCCTGGATTTGGCAGACAATCCTGAGGTTGTCAAAAGTAGCGCCACGCATCGAGATGCTGAATGCCAAGCTCATTAGTTTACGAGCAGCATTGGAAAGCAGGACGGATGCAACAGTCAAGGATCCCTTTGACACATTACTTACAGTAAATGATAATCATCTATAAACAGTCATTCATATTCATTCATTATAAATATTTACAAAATTATAAATACGTATAATTTCTATATATATATAATCAGTTATAAGCAACATTCCTTGAGCAATCACCAACTGTCCAGATCATCCAGAGCCATCGCCACAGGATCTTAGATGGGAGCAGCCAGAGCAACGTCCTCCGGCACTTGACCCAACTGAGGCCAGATCAGCGTTGTGAGCGATTCTCCGTCACCCTACCAGCCCTATATAGTACCCATTGTTTACCCATTGTTTCAAGATGTTTCAAGGACGGAAAGTGGCTAACAAATGCTAACCAGACATTGAGAAGACTTGGAATGATGAGAACATTTTGGGGAGCTGCTGAGCGCTGTTTTTTTTTGGGCGTCCAGTTGCAACAACTTCAAGTTCGCAATTGTGGTTGTAAATTTGCAAATTCTCACTCCCAAGTAATTAGCCCAAACTGGTGCCAGCAGATACCATCTGTTTAGGCGCAGCATGCGCCAGGTATCACCTGGACAGCGCCTTGAAATGGGGTCCAGACGCAGCTGATCTCGGCGCAATTAGCGAACACACCATCCAGCAGGCCTCACATCATTACAACGGTTTTGGCAAAGATCGGGCTTCATGGCCCTCATACAATTAACATCAATTAACAATATATTTGACAATAATTAACAAAGATGACAGAGGCAGACAGGCAGACTTGAAAAGAATGCAAGCTTGGCTGTTTCTCCTGGTGAAGACTTGAGTGATTAGCTGACTAGCTCGTTTGAACACATTAAGCGTTTGCAAACCGTTTGCCAGTGACATATTTTGACTACGTTTCTTGTCATCGTTTCTTATCCTTCTCGGCTGTGTATTTGTTCCATTTGTTCCTCCTTCAGGTGCAACAACTTGCAAGCACAGCCCGGGTCCTCGCACCCGGCGTGTATTTGTTCTCAAAAAGGGCGGAGAACATTCTTATTCAGAAGGAAGCGGTGGGTGTTTGGGCTTTTAGCTGTGATGCAGTCCAACTCATCAAAAAGTTCAGTAGGACAGTATAGAAGAAGTCAGAGTGTTACATTGCCTTATGGATAACTTTTGGTTTGTATGGCACTCTCCGCTGCTTGTGAATGTTTGTGATGTCGTGCTCCTGACAAACCCCTGCACGGGTGTTGGACTGCCACAAGTTGGAACATGTTGGAACTATGGGTGAGGATGTTTTTTCCCCCAGATTCTTGAGACCTGCTGGGCTACTTCAATTGCACTGTTGCAGTCAGACAGGAACGTGCTTTGAAGAAGGCAGCGCAAGTTCTCTTCGAGGATCAGCGAAAATCTTACAATTCAGCAACTTGGCATGAAGAGCTGGCTACTGTAGCCGAAGCTACAGCAGGAGGATCTAATGGCTCAGGAGATATCATGAGATTCTTATGAGATTCTTTCCATTTCTTTCCCATGATGTCATGATGGTTTCGGAATGCTTTTGGAGACCCTGACCTGGATGACGTTGCATTGATCTTTGCCATAGCTTCGTTCGATTGATAATTGATATACATATTTTAATTAACATGTTTCAATCATTCATGCATTTGTCCTTTTGCTGGGCTGAGCCTGGCCATTTTCGCGCCCAAAGGACTTCAAAGGAGACATGAGAATCCCGACCTCAAGGCTCAGCAAGGCCAGGTGTCATGCAGTGCATTGTTTTTTTTCTCCCAGGTTTTTTCTACATCAAATTCTGCCATAGTTGGAAGCTTCAGAAAGCACCCTGCTAGCATCGCCATGTGATACTTACTATTTGATATTCATCTGATTGGATACACCGGTAGGTGCCTCAAGTAAAACGATGTGGAAAAAACTATGAATCGAACCGCTTTGGGGTTTCCAGGCAGAATCCACTGTGGTGAGCGAGCTCGACTCTGAATGCGGGACCATGTATGCTGACACCGTAATCACCTGTCCTGCAGACGTTGGAAATGCTCCTTGGAACGCCGCTGCGATGTTTGTAGAGGTGAGATAGGTGAGCAATGGTGAGCATATAATGCGTTGAGGTTGCAACCAAACAAGTTACTGTGACCCCATGATTTCCAAAGGCGATGTAGACATTTAGAACACTTTAGCATCTATAATATTCTATAATATTCTATAATATTCTACGATATTCTATAATATTCTACAATATTCTATAATATTCTATAATATTCTATAATATTCTATAGCATTCTATAATATTCTATAATATCCTATAATATTCTATAATATTCTATAATATTCTATAATATTCTATAATATTCTATGGCACCAATGGCACCTACCAGGGTGCTAAGCCCTGCCCAGTAGCTAGGGTCCGTGTATGACCAAGCTGAGGTTCAAGATGTCAATGACTATTTAGCACTGAAGAGTGAGGAGCCACAATCCCACCCAGTGCTAACCTCTTGCTTTCTCTAGGGTGACTTTGATATGGACCGCCCATGTATGATACGTATGCATCATGCCCAAGGAGGTCAGTGAGCCAGTTCTAGGTCATTCTGAAGTCATTCTGAGTCAACAAGAGGATGTCCTCAACTTGTGTGATGCTCACTCAGCTTGTCTTTGATTCGATCGCTCCTAGCCTCCAGTCATTGAAGCATTTCTAAGCATTTGCCACGACGTACCCAGACAGTCACAACGTCACAACATACTCACAACCTCACAACCTTTGACTTAGTGATGTGGGTATGGGTAAAAATTGGGTACCCCAATAATTGGATGGTGAATACTAAACTAGACATTCACATCTGTGGTCCCCTTAACGGTCTTCCATTTTGACCCACATCCAAGACGATATCTCCAGGATCAACAGCGCCGATGGTTCTATTCTCAGTGTTTGGCGGCCAAACTGGTGACTTGGCTTTGGAGGATGCATGTCCTTTGCGTTACCCTCTGGTGAACTAACATAGCAATTGAAAATGGTCATTTATAGTGGATTTTCCCATTGAAAATGGTGATTTTCCATTGCTATGTTAGTTCACCAGAGGGTATATGATATGTTGCTTATTTCCATGATAGCCTTAAATGGAAAACACCGAGTTGATGGAAACAAACGGAAATAAACAGAAACAATCAAAACCAAAAAGCATATCGCGGCCGAGGAAGGGCAATTGAAGGCAGTAAAGCTCCAACAGAACCACACAAAAACCAATCAAAATCAGGATCTCAACCCCCTCAAGCGGCCAGGATCCACCCGGGCAACGAGAGTTTCGGGCATCTTCCAAGAACAGATGCCCAATATCCATCACTACTTGTATCCATCAATATCATCAATATCAAATAATGTCTGCAATAATTATCCAGGATACAATCAATATTCGATCAATATAAATCAATCATTATCAATCAATAAATATCAATACAACAGTAACCGAAGAATTGGCCCAATTCGTCGACTTGTTATGACTTGTTGTCCCCTGAAGACTCCAGTCAGTTCCCATCGCAGGTCACCTCGGATCAAGCTCGAGCTCGAAAGATTCTCATTAGCGATCTCTACGCGAAGGTGAAGGTAACGAATGTCGCAGTGCGACCAAGGGATTTTGCAGTGGGATTTTGGATGCGTCCAAGGGAGAAGGTCGCTGGTGATTTGTTTGATTAAGAATATTGAAGAATAATAATGAATGGGTTCTTTTTTGGCATCTTGTTTAGTGGGGATATTGACGGGGATATGATGGGGGCTTATAACGCGAAAGTAACTGTGTGAAATGGGTCCGACACCTTACCGTTACGGTGACATGCTCGCTTCTGTTTTTGATGTTGCAGTGAATTGAGGTTGTTGTTTCCTGTTTGTTGATGCCTGCACTGCGTGTCTCCACAGTTGACATTACAATGTTTTGCATGTTGCTGCCAGTTGTTGTGTATCTATTTTGACGGCGTTGCCTCCAATCATGGCAGAAACCAGCGGAAAGCTTCCATACAACAATACGTCATAAGCAAGTCCCTCGTGTTTCAATCCCTCCACATGGCATGGAAGGTTCACTAAGGTTCATCATTTGAAACAAGTCTAGCTTGGTGTCCACACCTTCCATGTCCTATGTTGAATTTCGGACAGCTGTGGCAGGCTTCAGGGATTCCCATCACGAACTGGATGATGTTCATTCAGGAGCAGTTAATGCTTGGCCGCGGCATTCCAGTCCCCACGGATATTCGTTGAGTCACCTTTGGACCTTTGGAAGCGGCCGGTAGCAGCAGCATTTGCCACACAGAGATGTGGTCGAAAACATTGAGAAACATGGTTTCTAAATGTTTGGAAAGCTTTAGAAATTACTCAATTATTCAAGATTATATATAGCAAATGTGACTTCTGGCGGAACCACCCAAGGGTTTTTGATTGGAGTCGGCACATGTTATCACATGTTGTGATCTTCTGGGTGGCACTTTGCTCTAGTTTGCTCTCAACTAATTACGGTGTTGCCAATGCACCCTGCAGAGGCAGAACCTTAATTGGCATGCACGATTATGCTGATAATAGCCCTCAGCATCACCTGATTGGAGGGGAACTGGCTCGAATAGAATCATTCCTGAGTTTTAGCGCTGGATCCTGCACATAGGCAGAAAAGAAGAGCACGCTTCATATTATGAACTTCATATCACTGCATAGTTGTGACGTGGTGTGACCGTTCGCACATCGATGGAAGCAGCACTTGTGGAAGTCCTTCAGCATCTAGGCTTGGATCCTATGAGCTGGGACAGGCACATGGGGCATGGCACCCTGGCCAAACACAACGGGTTTAGGATGGTTTAGGCACCCGTTACTGGGTTCATTAATGTTCGTTAAGTTTGAGGTTCAAGAGGCCTGTGAAGTCTTTGATGCTGGTAAAGGCATTCATCCAAAATATGTTGGTTGAATTTCATTAAGTTTTATGCAGGTTACATCGAGTTAGTCGCATGAACAGCAAGCTCCTTCGCCATCCAGACCTGGCATCCATCACTAGGAGCACAGACCTCAGTCTTTGTAACCAGCTCCCCTTGGCAAAACCGCAGGACTATTTGGCGCGTTCCAATGTGCCTGAGAAGCTCGAAGCGGATTTGTTGGACCCATATTGCCCGTGCCTCAATCTCGGTCCGTGCACTTGGGGAACCGTGCCTAGTTTCAGGCTGTGACTGAGCGTGATCAGCCAATTGTTCACCCATAGATGTTCATACACTGCACATGAAGGCGGCCAGGTGTGCTGCGGGTGAGAAGGGTCCCGAAAAAGTATGAACAAGTGATTCCAGGTGATGGCTCAGTGCGTCTTTGCGTCACACGGCTGCTGGGCTTCATTGCAGGCTTGGAATCCAAGATAATCCAAGTTCGGAGGGAGGGGGCGAATGAAACTGAGAGGAGAAAAACTTGGGACGCATGCCATGAGCATCCAAAGCATCCCCCAAGCACCCCATCAGTCTAGGTCGTCTTAGTTGACCAGAACACCCACTGGCCCAATGGAACCCAAATTCTGAGCTTTGAGGTCGCAGCGCAACAGCGTCTGAGCTGTTGCTTCGAAGCCATGAGGTGGTCTTGATAGTTCTTGTTTTGTGTGGCATGGATGTACCAAGATCACAACAGCATTTTAAAACACCATACTCTGCTGACAGAGCGGAAGAGGGGCTGACAGATGTCGTATGGCTTCTCTCCCAACATCATATTCTATATTATTATATAAGTATATACATGTGTATACAGTATACATGATACGCGTACTGTATATTACTATGTGCATATGACATCATATGACATTACGCATGATTAATGTTTATCTAATTTTATCTACAGTATATGAACATGTGTGCATCTGTGTGTGTGGTGCTTTGGACATGCAAGGCTCCCTTTCCGCAATCCATCGCCGGTTTGCTGGACAGTGTTTGGCCAAGACTCCTTGTAGCCATCCGCTACACCATGAAAAGACGCAAATCTGAGCATGGCGAAAGGAGATCAGTGAGCTTGGTATGACAGTGTTCATATTCTATTTGCATAAGGAATATGTGATATGAGGGTAATTTGGATGCTCTCACTTTTGGCATTTGTTACATCTTTGTGCATTTCTTCTGTTGCAATAGTTCCTTTGGTTCTGGACACCTGCCCCAACTCTCCCAAGGTCGTGACATTACTTCAAGGCTTTGTGCCATCCATGCTTGGGCCGGCAGC